GGGAGGGGCCTATTTTCTGGTGAGTCTGACATGTGACCCAAGACACTGGGAACAGTTTGAGGCCCCATCATACTTAGCGACCAGCTGAAGTACCCTGGATACTCTCAATTTTGTGGGTGAGTTATATTATTCTCAAGGCTAACATCTGGCCTCAAAAACTTGCATTTTCATTCATCTGGCAGACATACTTATCCAAAATCCTATCCTAAAGCAAAAGCAGAGTCAGACAGACCCTAGAGGAATTGAGGGTTAAGGACCTTGCTCAAGGGCCCAGCGGTGACATCATTCTGCTGGCGGTGGGATTTGAACCAGCAACCTCCTGATCACGGCATCCTAATCTGCTGAGCTACACACTGGCCCAATTATCTCTTTTGAGTCAGCTATAATGCAGTGACTTAAAAGCTCACAACTTACAAATACTTCCTAACACTTAGTACCTCCCTGGTAGCACTAAGTACCATGAAGTACCACTGAGTACTGCTAGCACTAAGCAAGTGCACCCCCCCCCCCCACTCTCTCACACCCATTTTGCGTAGCTTCTCTGCCACCTGTAGGGCAGACCTCCTTACCCAGGAAGGTGTCTGCCAGACTGATGGACTGGGAGGAGAGGGCCGTGCGGAAGCCCCGCCCATCCGAAGGGATGATGGTCGATTGGCAGATGAAGGTCTCCACCCAGTTCACCAGCTCGCTGGATTCGCTCTGCACATCCTTGCTGGACAGGTCCGTCACGTTGTCGGCGCACATGGCCAACCGTCTTCCCTGCAGAGTGGAGCAGGGGGACAGACATTTCCAAAAAGGCTGCTTTCATCGAGCAACAGCCCAAAACTGAACACTCAGCAGGAAATCAATAGATCAACCCTGTAGTTTACAGGATTGTATACCTCCTATTTTGCAAATACAAGCTTTAGCCATTTACAAGTAGCAAATGGATGTAGTAATGGAGCCAGACCTCACGTCCGCACAGGCTGATGTTGAACTGGTGGAAGTACTTGGTCCCCTTGGATGTGAAGCTCGGCCCATTCATAATGGAGCTGACGGCGCTGAGCGGGCTGAAGTCGTAGGTCAGGGTCTGGTTCTGCAGCGTGTGGGAGAAGCTGCAGTCGCTGAAACAGACGGAGTGCTCCTTCCGGGGCAAAATGGGACATGGAAGCGGGTTGGATCAGAACCCAGGAAAGAGTGCATTCTTTCAGTAACAGCCATACCTGAAGGCAGGACTCCCACCAATTCCCATACTGTAGGGTGTCCAGATCATCCATGTCAGGGAGGACACTCTGAGCTAGGACGGGATTTCTAAAGGACCCGGATTTCACTTTAGCACTGAGCTCTTGTTGTGTCCTGATTGGTCAGTCTCCTAAAATCATGCATGTGCCACTGATATTAATGTTAAACAGCTGGATGAGTCTTTCAATAAAGTGAAATTCACAAGAAGAACTTAAGCACTTATCCAAGCACAGGAGCCTTTCAGTTTCAAATTGGCTTGTAAAACCTAAAGTAGCTCAAAGAGTTAGACAGGGATTATCTGGTCACCCTACCATATTAGGAGGCAGAACTCTCAGCAATGCCCATACTGGGAGTGAGTACTCTGAGTAATACCCATACTGGGAGGCAGTACCATCTGCAATGCCCATACAGAGAAGTGGTAATCTCAACAATACCCATACTGGGAGGTGGTACTTTCAGCAATGGCCATACTGGGAGGCGATACACTGTTAGCAGTACCCATACTGGGAGGCGATACAGTGTGATACCTTGTTGCTCTTGCTGCCGGGACCACAGGGCAGGCAGGCCTCCCTGCCGTAGATCTGATGGCCTGACAGGTAGGTGTCCGGGGGGCATTCCCGGCATCGGTTGGTCTCCTTGTCGATGTAGTGGCCAGCGGGACAGGGCACGCAGGAAGACTCCGACTGCTGGGATACCATGGCGCAGGCACGGCAGGAGGACGCCACGCCGTCCTGGGCGTTGGTGACCGTGATGGAGTAGATCTTCACGATGTCGTTGACCAGCCTCCTGCCCTGGACGACAAACCACGTGTGGGGTTGTAACATGTTCATGTTTCTCCATCTTCGGTCGGCAAGCTAACGCTGCCAGGAGATTCCTCTGCCAGGTAAGATAAGCTTAACTCTAGACATTCTATTCAAAGCCCTGCAAAAATTACCCACCATGAAAACACTCTCAAAGAACAAGTCACCTCACCTCCTCCTCAGAAGAGCATCTGAAGGAGGTGCAGGTTAAGATCTCCTCCAACCTTGATATTCCAAAAACATTCATTTACACAATGCAAATGAATATCAATACTGAGTGTGACATGCGGTCACTGGGCTCTTAGGCCAGTCCCTCAGAGATTACATCATCAGTTGTCGCCTTCCCTCTGAGATTACATCATCAGTTGTCGTCTGATGTATCTCCCCAGCCGCCGGGGCACTTACATCAGCCGCCTGATTGGTCCGTTGAAATGCCCACGTGTAAGACACCGAGGCGTTCTTGGTGATGACGTGGCTGTATGACTGCCTCTCCTTGCTGCCCTCCCATGACTCGACCACACTGGTACTCTTCCTGTTCACATCCTGCGAGGGCACAAGTGTTTCCACTTACCAGCACAGTGGGATGATGACACCAAGTATCTATAAACAGCGTTTCCAAATCCGGCCCCCAGGGACCCACAGACGTTCCACATTTTTGCCCCCACCCAGCGCCCTGCCAGACAGTCCACATTTTTGCTCCCTCTGAAAGCTAGGAGGGAGCAAAAACATGGACTGCCTGTGGGTCCCCAAGGACTGGATTGGGAAACACTGACCAATGGCTAAAGGCCATGACGCACCATCATGAAGTAGAGCTCGCAGTCTGCAGAGCAGATGGTCTCAAAGACAAAGGTTATACGGCCGAACTCGCTGCCCTTGCTCTCCATCACGGACGTTGGGAGCCTGTGAGCACAAAAGCACTGTAAGGGTCCAGCCCTCCCTCAAAGTGACAGTTTTCCCAAATCGTCACATGCATGTGTGTGTGGATCCCGGCTGCTCACTTGAATCCTGTAACGCGGAGGTTTAGGATGAGGTAGTCGTTGTCGGAGCTTCCTGCTCCACTCCGGATATGATCCCCAGCCACTTCCCAGCCTGCAAGAACCAAAAACCTCTTTCATCCAGCAACTTATTAGAGGCATGACAATGTCAACATACAATAGGGAGATGGTGTCCTTCGGCGCTGCTTTATATGGGTTTCCTGCCACGGCCATGGCGACATCACCCATCAATGCATCTCTGAAAGCTCACTATACATACGTGTATCACCTTCTCCTCAAAAGATCTCAAAACTGAAAAGGCAGAAACCCAAATCTGAACAGCCTCAGCAGAAGCTCTATCAGGCCAGCCTCCCTCAGTCTCCTTCACAGACCTTCATTCGTGAAAGGATGTATAAGCACAGTGAAAACAGCATTCCTCAGCTTTCTGGAACACAGAGGTCCTGACTACCAGGTTGTGAAACCAAGCAGTTAATCAATCGTCCCTCTGAACACTAAAATCGGGGGTCGATGTGGCCACAATTCACTTCTCTGGCAGAACGTTTTCTGGGTGAAATGTGCGAAGGCCTCTAAGTGCAAACACACCCTTGCAATAATGTAGGAAACAGAATGACAGATCTAAATGGTTCTGAGGGCCACGTCCGTGGAGACGTCACCTGGGACCTGCCATTCCCTCACATGCGCTGCTTATCCCAGTCGTCCTACTTCAGTGAACAGCAGTAAATCACTTTCAGTGTTTGAGGTAATGGAATAATAAAATATGAACTTACACATCAATCTGGAATGAGCATGTACCGTCCAAGCGTCAGGTCTAAAGGCGTCACTGTTTCATCAGTGATCCCACAGCGCCATCTAGCCCCCAAAAGCCCTTACTGCATCTTTCCTCACCATTCATGCCGTCGCACTTGGAGTTGCCGACGTTGAAGCAGGATGTCTTCATGTTGGCGGGCAGCAGGTTCCACCACTTGTACTCGTACCCGAGGGCCGGCTCCGTGCCCGCTGGGCACTTCTGGCATGCTGGGGAGGTGGTGGTGGGGGGGGGGGGTGTTATCAGACTTTCCGATGGGTGGGGCTTCATTTTCTTTTTTTAGAATTTAGACGTCAGTGGTCATTGTTGACACACCACAGCACACAACAACAAAACGTGTCCTCTGCATTTAACCCATATGTGACATCATGACATAGCAGGGGGCAGCTAATTCAGCGCCGGGGAGCAGTGCTTGGGGGCGGTACCTTGCTCAGGGTACCTCAGAGGTGCTTTGCTGGTCAGGGATTCAAACCTGCAATCTTTCAATTACAAGTGCGCTTCCCTGACCATTAAACCACCACTGCTCTGGGGACAGGCTAGTGCAATGCTGTCACAGGCCTTGGGCTTTTAACACTCAGCATCTATCTCATTAATGCCTTTAGGCTGATGATATACAGTTTTTGAGCAATGTTGCTCAGGCACTTTCCCATTGATACTGGGCAACAAATTTCGATTTGAAAAACTTTGATCAGCAGATGAGTTGCTCTTTGTCTCAGCTGGTTGGCAACTGTCTGGCAACATGGCTCAAAAAGTGACATGATGTGAGTTGCTCAATCCCACTCCTGGCTCAGTGTATATGTTCCAATCTCCCTCCTAGCAGATTGTGTGTTGCAAACCCACTCCCGGCTCAGTGTATGTGTTCCAATCCCCCTCCTAGCAGATTGTGTGTTGCAAACCCACTCCCGGCTCAGTGTATGTGTTCCAATCCCCCTCCTAGCTGAGTGTGTGTGTTCTTCGTACCTCTTTCCTCCAGGTACTCTGATCTACTCCCATGTGCCAAACTCATGTGGTTAGGTGACCTGGAGTCTGCAAAATGCCCATAGTGGTTGTTTTCTGCACTGTGCTTCCTGGGAAAGGCTCCAAACTCACTATGACCGTGTCTTGAGTAAGCAATTATTGAATTGGATGTGCAGTGTTCTGTTGGACTGCTTAGACCCTATCAGAGACCATATGGTAGTATATCTCAGTGTTATTTAAAAACAGACCGATCATTCAGATTTGAAGTGTGCTGACAAGAATCAACACACACAAGAGAGTTTTCTAGGTGTATTACACATCAACAAAACAGACACAGATGTCCAAATGTGGCATCCACTCCAAGGATCGGGGAACAGGCGTGACAGCATGGATGTATCTTCTAACGAGAAAAACGTGGCCGCACTGAGCTCAATGATGAATGAGATTCAAATAAAAAAAAGTGAATTCGACGTACTGACATTAGCCAAGATCTTCATTGAAAATTAGCCGCAGCTGAAAGTACTGTAACGATGAGTAAGTGATGCCTGTGAGTTAATCCATGGCTGGTATGTTACAGACAGTTTGACAGGGAGGCACCGTGGGAACACCCACACGCGTCAGTCAGTGCCAGTCAGACCATACGCTCACAGGAGGGGCCCGCACCCATGTTGCCACAGTTACCTTCGATGCCGTTGGAGAAGGTTCCGGGGGGGCAGGGGGAGCAGCTGGCCGTGTCGTGGTTATAGAAACCGGGATTGCAGGGCGGGCACTTCTCTCGCTCGCCAGAAGGGGGCAGCGCCGCGGCCCCTGTGACATTCTCCATGCAGATCTTGGGCTCGATCCACTTGTACATGATCTGAGTCTGAGACGAGAGTATTTTAAATATGCTTGTTATCCATCTTCTGTAACTAGTCCTACGCAGGGTCCGGAGCCTATCCCAGAGCTTATGGGCACCAGGCAGGGAATAACCCAGGATGGGGTGCCAACCCAAAGCAGGGCACACACACACCACATACAATGTGATAATTCACCTCAGCATGTCTGTGGACTGGGGGGGGGGGACTGCAGTTCCCAGACGAAACCCCATGACAACACGGGGAGAACAAGCAAACTCCATACACACGGGCCAGGGTGGAGACTCGAACCCTGGTCCCAGAGATGAGCGCCACCATGCCGCCCTTATCCCAGTTATCTTTTTTAAAAATCTGTCAGGCCCTTTATTGGTTTATTGCCGGATCACCAGAGGGATCAAGGAAATCAGACGCGTGCGTAAGGTCCTTACTTTGCCATCGCTGTCGCAGGGCGTGTGAATCTGGAAGTAGTCCTTCTCCGTGCACGGAAGCTTCCCCTTACACTCTGCCGATCCCTCGGCTGTGGAAAGAGCAGATTCAGGGAAAGCGCATGCAGGAATCTGATTCCCAGAATCGGGTCTTTAGAGCAGAACAGGTTTAACATCACACTAAAAAAAAAGAGAGAAGAGCTTTTTGATCAATTTTAAATATGGCAGCTCATTTGTATCTGGTGACACATGCAGGCTTTCGGCAGCCTGGGATAGACGCTTGAGGCAGCACAGGCTCTGCAGGTGACGGAGTCGGCTGGGATAGCTCCGCCCCCTGCTGGCACCATGTCGCCCCCTGCAGGATCAGTGTAGGCAGCGGGTGCAGCACCCTCTGACTCAAGCATTACTCAGACCCCCATGTCGCGTTCAGTCCGACAGCCCGGCACGCTGAGGCACTCGACCAGTGAAGGCAATGCTTCACAGATGCCTGACCGGTCAGCAAGAGGGCAGACAGCCGGCCACGTCCCCAGAGAACCACACCCCCAGAGAGCCACGCCCCCAGAGAGCCACACCCCCCGAGAGCCACGCCCCCAGAGAGCCACGCCCCCAGAGAGCCACACCCCCAGAGAGCCAGGCCTTCCAAACTATCTTTCACAGAAGACAAACAGAAGGAAAACATGGTTTCCCAGATCCTCATTGATCCCAATATTTAGACGCCTGTCCAATACAAAATCCAATATTGTGAATTAAAATACCGCCAGCTGGGCAGGCCTTCTTAACGCAACTAAATACCCCCCCCTCAATGTATTCAAACTTTCACCACCGGGGGCAGCGTGTGGCTCAGACAGCTACATCTCATTGCCTCGGATCAGAAGATTGTGGGTTTGAGCCCCGGCCTCAGCAGAATGATCACATATCTAAGGGTCTTTAAGAAAGGCCCTCAACCCCCAGCTCCAGGGGGGCTGTTCCTGTACTGTGACCCCCCCCCCCAGCTCCAGGGGTGCTACACGCTGGCTGTCCCTGTGCTGTGTCCCAAAAGCTTGCTCACACCTGCATATGTGTGTGTGTCTCATGGAGGACGAGATGGGACAGGATTTCCCCAAGGAACTAACAAAGTATCATTATTCTGTATTATATTCTTACATTGTACTGTCTTATCCACCTGTCCCCCCCCGCAACTGACACAGGAATTTCACCGAGTTCCTCTGAACACATGCTACAATAAAACTTGAAGGTTAAGAACCATAAAGCCCCGACATGCCGAGAAAGCAGGTCTGCCCGTCTGCAGACAGCGGCACCAAGAACAGCCAATCAACAATCAACAAAACTGCGGGCAGGATCCCCCGGACGCCATTGGCCGGAACCTACGTGCGTACTCCTCCTCCTCCTCGCAGGGGGTGCAGGAGCTGGCCCCTTTGCCCGAGTAGGTGTTCCTGGGACACACCTCGCACGACGAGGACCCCGGGGTCCGGCTGAAGGTGCCCGGTTTGCACTGGAAGCACTCCGATGTGTAGGCGACACCTGGAGCGAGCCAGCCAGCGCTGGGTTAGCATCAGGGCCGTGGCAGCGGCAGAAGGCGAGCTCTGCAGCTCTCTCTCACCCTCAATCTGAATGTTCTTCAGCAGCACGGGCTTCAAGACCTTGGTCCCGAGCAAGATCCCAGTCGTCCTCCAGTACAAGATGTTGGTTCCTGACTTCAGGTTTACCTGCAAAAAGAAACAACCAAGGAGATACTGCTATGTGGACCAACAGTCAGAATCTCCTGCTTGTTCTACACAGTTCTGTAGGATATCGTTTTTCACAAAGCAAGCAGATATTCTTAATGGGCACTAGAGGGCGCAGTTGGGCCCACTGCTGAAAGTACGTATTGTTTTGATATTGGAGCTTGTGGTTGGATATGGCTGCATGAAGAGAGGGGCTTACGGTGTGCGTGCCCCACTCGCCGCTGTTTGTCAGCTTGATCCACTTCTGCTCTGACGTTTGATCCATTTCCTGACACTGATCATTCTGTATCTGAAAGAAAAATCTGAGTAAGCAAACTAAAAACATATCTTTGAGCACAGTTGTTTATTAGAACGATTCTGCTGATAAAATTGAAATTGAGCCATCTGAAAACATAACGTCACGTGACAGCAAAGAAGGCCGTCACATGATAGACAGGCAGGGAGACAGACAGAGACAGACAGGCAAGCAGACAGAGACAGACAGACAGGCAGACAGACACAGACAGACACATTACTAATCCTGAAGGAAACAGCAGGTCATTCGTATGGATGTAATATCTTCTTAAATGCAAAGCAGACTCACAAAGAATTCAAAGAAGATGTGGTTGTCCTCATACTGGTAGTCAAAGGACACAGATCCCTGCTTCTTCAGGTGCACGGCGTATATCAGAGAGACAGTGCACTCATCCCTGTTGGACTCCAGGTAGTTCCCCTGGGGGACCCAGGTGGAGCTGTAAGGAGCAAAACAATGTAAGATGTGTCTCGGGAATCAGGTATAGAGAGGCGAAAAGGCATGATGCAGGTTCCTTATTGGCATGATGCAGGTTCCTTATCGGCATGATGCGGGTTCCTTATTGCCATAATACGGGTCCCTTATTGGCATAATGTGGGTTCCTAACTGGCATAATACGAGTTTCTTATTGGCATAATGCAGGTACCTTACTGGCATAATGCGGGTTCCTAACTGGCATAATACGAGTTCCTTATTGGCATAATGCAGGTACCTTACTGGCATAATGGGGGTTCCTAACTGGCATAATACGAGTTCCTTATTGGCATAATGCGGGTTTCATATTGGCATAATGCAGGTTCCTAACTGGCATAATGCAGGTTCCTTATCGGCATAATGTGGGTTCCTTATCGGCATAATGCGGGTTCCTTATTGGCATAATGTGGGTTCCTTATCGGCATAATGCGGGTTCCTTATTGGCATAATGTGGGTTCCTTATCGGCATAATGCGGGTTCCTTATTGGCATAATGTGGGTTCCTTATCGGCATAATGCGGGTTCCTTATTGGCATAATGCGGGTTCCTAACTGGCATAATGCGGGTTCCTTATTGGCATAATGCAGGTTCCTTATTTGCAAGGTCATACAACGCAAACCCATAATATAGTTAAAGAGCATAATTTAAGTGCATCAGACTTGAACAGTTCCTGGACACCAGGCGCCCTCCATGTCCAGAGTCTGCGGTGTGAAAAGCGGTTTGAAGAGAATGGCTTATATTACGCCTCTTATCTTCACTCGTGTTTAAAACGGCCAAACTCTGTCTCAGGATCTAACAGTCTGCCGTCGTCCACGATGCTTGGATTCCAGAAACAATAGACAAAAGCAACATAACTGGCTACTTTTCAAAATTGAGTAGGATACTAGAAACAGCTAGTTATAAGCGCTAAAGCATCCACGGCATTAAAAGGAATCTAGGTACACAAACCCAGAAGACTTTACCTAATCGAAAGCGCTTCAGCAAAGCAAATATAGTTGAAACGAGTCACCAAACGCAGCACCTGACTCAATCAGCCATAGATGTGCGGCTGGGATGTGATGGAAACTTCTACAACAGTCTCCCACTGGGTTTACTCCCATTCTAAAGTTATCCATGGAGATAAGTCTGTTAATCATTACTTTTAACTTCCCCGACCTAATTATGCTCAAATCTGAAATGGGGCACAGGAGGAAAATTAAATTAAGCTTGCAGTTCTTCTGGCTAAAGTGCAGAACGGAGAGTAAGGTGAGGGGAGGGGGAGTGCCAGACTTGCTATCCTCGGGATGGGAGGGGGCTGTGTTTTTCTAGTAAGATGCTGAGACGTTGTGAGCATGTGCCGTCCCTGCACGAGCTGTGCTGTCTGTTCTCATTCAGAGCCCAAAATAGACACACCTCACTGTCCAAAAGGCTAACCACTGAACAGACTGCGAGTGGGAGTTTTATTCGGGGGGGGTTCACCACGGGGGCCATTGGCACGGGGGCGGCTGCTCCGATGTGGCCAAGGGGCCTGGCCCACTCACTTGCTGCAGGTGAGGGCTTCATCCCCACCGGGGCCACTGTCCAGGTAGGTGGCCAGGTTGGTGAAGCCGGCTGGAATGTCGTCCCACTCGTCAAAGCGAACTCCACTGCCCAGGGAGTAGGTCCCGGCCGCGCACTGCGTGCACTGCTGTGATGACATCTCCAGGAACTCCCCAGCGTTGCAGGAAAAGGCTGGGGGGGTACATGGATCACAAAGGAGGACGTGAGAACCAATAATGGGTAGAATCAACTTTCAACTCTGCCAATCACTGGCTTTCCAAAGCAATAAAGCAACCAATGACATGCGGCATGAACTCTACACTGCTAATCACTGGCTTTAAATGCAATAAAGTAATCAATGATGTTTGGCATTACCTCCACACTGCCGATCACTGGCTTTTCGACTCAATATACCAACTAATGAAATGTAGAGTTAACATTGCACTACCAATCACTGCGTTTCTGACCTAATAGAGCAACCAATGAAATGTGAGGTAAGCCAGGCGGTGACTGAGAGGGCTCGATAACCCCAACCACAATGGATGCAGCAGCCTTATTTTACTGTTGCTTAAATGAGGACCCTCAGGGATCAGACCCTCTGAGAAACGTTACAATGTGGCGGCGCCATTTACCCTGGGAATGGCATCGCTTACAGTCCTGAAGCACCAAACATTTTTAAAGAAATCTAGTTTGATTTCAAGTGAAATATTAAAGATATTAAAAGTAGCATCGACCCAATAATTCGCAGTTTCACACTTTCAGTGTCCAGCTACAGTTTATCTATTCTAAGCCATTCTCTCTGAAGTGCCTCTGTGAACGGACACAGCTTGATGACGTTGCCAATTGCAGTCACACTTCTCTGTGGTGGACGCAACCTGCCAAGGGCAGAATGTAGGGTCAGTGGGGGGGGGGGGGGGGGGGGGGGGGGGGGGGTTTGGTAGGGGCAGGGTGAGTGTCTCACCCCCCCCAATATTCACAGAAATAGCACTCCCACATTTGCATGTGTATAGTTACTGATTGCACACTGCCCCCCCCCCAGGTCTTATAGTGCTCTGACTTCTCAGCGATGCCATTCTGTCACAGAAACACCCTTCGCTTCTATGTAAGCGGCTGGCGGGCGGCACGGCGACACTGGGGGGGGGGGACGGCACAGTGACACTGAGGCGGGTGGCACGGTAACACTGG